TTGTGTTGTATCAGGTTGTATTGTATTGTATTGTGTTGTATCAGCTTGTATTATATTGTGTTGTATCAGGTTGCATTGCATTGTATTGTGTTGTATCAGGTTGTATTGTATTGTATTGTGTTGTATCAGGTTGTATTGTATTGTATCGCATTGTATTTTATCAATTTGTATTGTATTAATTTGTATTATATTTTATTGTATGGTATTGTAATTTGATGTGTATGGTCTTTATCAAAACTATGAAATTTATTCATGATTATCATCATCATCATCATCACCATCATCATCATCATCATCATCATCATCATCATCATCATCATCATCATCATCATCATCATCATCATCATCATCATCATCATCATCATCATCATCATCATCATCATAACGAACGTTCGTTGGCCTTCTCCGGCAGCTCTGTTCGAGGCATACTGGGCTAACATGAGGGCTTGCTCCTCTGCACTGATGCTGTTTGCGTGCTGCATCTGCAATGTTGATTGACAGTCCATTCACTCTCACTCACTCACTCACTTGCTCACTCACTCGCTCGCTCAATCACTCACTCACTCACTCGTTCGTTCGTTCGTTCATTCGTTCATTTCATTATTTATACAGACGACGACAAACAAAATTAAAAAAAAAACCATTGACAGCAATCGCAACGACAAAACGAGACCTCAAAGATTGTCTCCTCACAGAAGTTGACGAAGCACTCCAGCTTGCCCTTATCGCCTTCCTCGTTCACGATGTTGTGCAGGAAAGTTCTTTTGGATTCCTGAAGTATTTTCAGAAACAGTTGGAAAAGTTTTCTAAATAATGGTCTCCTCTTACTCTAATTCATTCACGATTGCTTAAGATTCAAATATTAATTCTCTAAATAACAAAAAAGAAACAAACAATTCCCCTAATTGCGTTATTACATGAAGGTGTAGGAGAAATATCAACTCAAAAATTTTTTTTAATCCAAACGAAAGATTCGAAAAAGACACAATTGAACAAAAAACTCAAACACACCTTAATCTGCGGCTTCTCCCATTGGTCGATATGATCTTGCTTGATTTCGAAGTAAACTCTCTCTATCTTGCTGGCACTACCCATGATCTCGATGCGGCCCAGGTATGGTTCGAAGTAGTTGAGAACGCATTGAGCTTTCTCAAGGAAACGTTCAAGTCTGTGCGTGGATTTGTGTGGATTTGTGTGTGAGTAAGTATTTAAGGGTGTTTGTATTTGTTTGTTTGGTTGTGAATGTGTGAGCTTGTGTTTGTTTATGTGTGTCTGTTTGTGTGTGCTTGTTTGTGTAATGATTGAATGTAATGAGAATAATAAAAATGATTTTAAAAATCGAATGCATCGAATGCATTGATTGAATGACAATGATGATAAAATAGTACTAAATAATAACGAGAATTTATGTAAAACCGGACAACAAAAATAGAATAAAATGAAAAAAAATCGCGACTTACCTGGGGTCATTAGGTATATGTTCGGAAAGGTTAGTGAGTAAGACAGCCACGTTGAACCCAATGTCCTTAGCTGGTCCGTGAAATCTTCCGGTGAATTCGTTGAAATCTACCTTGCCGTCCTGATTGGCATCTATGCACATCATTACGTATTCTATTTCTTCTCTGAAGCGTGTGTGGTAGTTTTCGTTATGTGTGTGGTTTCGTTACACACATATATCACAACACACACACACATCACACACACATACAAACACATATAGACACATGCAAACACACACTAACTCACACACACACACACGCATGCAGACAGACAGACAGCCACATACATATATATCCACTCACTCAGTGTATATCTTCTGCAGCTCCAAGGCCCTTCTGAATTCCTTCGGAGTGACTATGCCGTCATTGTTCACGTCAATTTCCTGTTTCCAAGGTAAGAATTTTAAATATCCATCTCTCCCTCAATTCATCACTTCATACATCAATTCATTCCTCAATTCATCTATTCATTCACCAATTCATTCACCCACTTATCCATTCATCCATCTGTCCGTCCGCCTCACCATGAATCCTTCACTTCTCGTCAGGTCTTTCATTTTCAAGAAGATGTCGAAAAATTTGAGAATCAGCTGCAGACGAAGATTATAGAAGTTTTATAATAAGATCGATAATAATTATATTTAAAAAATATAAATAAAATATTATTTTTTTATTAATTCTTTCTCAAACAATTTTCAAAGCATCACCAACACCACACTTACACACACACACACACACACACACATACAAAAACACACAACAGCAGAACCAGGCGTTTAATATTAATGACAAAAACTGAGATAATATTACAGACGTTTATACATCATTTTGAACGGCTAAATATGATTATACTAAAGATTATTTCAACATCAGTTGAAATATCATTATTCAAATATCATTGTAGCTAAAAAAATAAATCATTATTTAAATATACAACAACAACATACAGCAAAGAGCAGAAAAAAACGAAAACCAAAAACACCAAATAAGTACGAACTTCAAAGTTTGCGGACGACTCAACTAACGTGTCGACCATCTGCTTTCCTATTGGTCCGTTCATCACGTTTCCTTGAAAATGAAAAAATAAAATTTAATAGTCGCATTTCGTTTATTATAAAAGTAGAAAATGTCATTAATTCAAAATAAGAGGAGTTGAAAATAAGCAAAATGAACAAATAAACAAAATACAAAACGATGCAGAAGACACTGAACAATTTTACTGAAGTAAATTGATTGATTGAATGATTGAATGATTGATTGAATGATTGATTGATTGATTGATTGATTGATTGATTGATTGATTGATTGATTGATTGATTGATTGATTGATTGATTGATTGATTGATTGATTGATTGATTGATTGATTGATTGATTGATTGATTGATTGATTGATTGATTGATTGATTGATTGATTGATTGATTGATCGATCGATTGATCGGTTGAAGATTAGCGAATTTCAAAATTTCAAGAAACCTAATAAAATTATTGCAAATGGCAGCCGCATTAAAATCCAACAAATGATGAACACGAACCTTCCAGCATGGATAGAAGCATAATCATCATGTCTTTTTGTAGTGTCATGAATTCACGTAGCAACTCGAATTGTTCCGGATCCTGAGAGTATCATCATCATCGTCATCATCATCGTCATCATCATCATCTTCATCGTCATCATCATCGTCATCATCTTCATCGTCATCATTATCGTCATCATCTACATCGTCGTCATCATCATCGTCGTCGTCATCATCATCGTTGTCGTCATCATCATCATCGTCATCATAATCTTACCCTGGATAATTTATCTTGCATGTGAGCGAATATGAAAAGAAAGCCACCGACGGCATCCCACAGCCTACTGTGCGCCAGTGCCAACTGGTTGCCCTGGCATGGGCCCTACGTAAATTAACATAAATTTTAAATAAATTGCATAATTTACATAAATTTTACCACGCAGGAATTCAAAAACCATTAAAAAATATAAATTTAGCAGCTTGATATCTTGTTAGAAAGGTAGCAGCATTACTTTGCAGAATATCATACGATAGGTTACAAATATTTAAATATCAATCTACCAGCGATCAAGACGAAGAAAGAATCTTAGGTAGATAACAACAGCAAAATATAAGATTATCACCAGATATGCAAAAAAAAATACAAACACCACAAAAACAGCAAACGAACAGTCGGACCAATGCGAACCTGAATATACTCGGATATGCTGTTGAAGACTTGCGATGCGACACTGATGGCTCTGATGAAACTTTCTTTGCCTGCCGTGTCAATGATATCCTTGCTCACATAGTGCCAGTAGAAGTCCATGATTGATTCCTGAGTTGGTTGATTGATTGGTTAGTTAATTGGTTAAATAATTAATTAATTATTCAATTAACTGGCTGGCAGGAAAGTTGGTTAAAGGTTAGAAGGTTAAAGGTTTCTCTCTCTTTTTTGCGTTTGCTTCAGAGGTTTCAACGACAAACACACACAGCGTATATGAATACGCGTGCAAACCACGCATCATACACATTGCATATGATAGGCGGGGATCTCTTTGTATTCGAACCCAGTCAATGCAATAGCAAGACCAGGCGCCTTTAACCATTGAGCCATCACGCCGATTTAAATACCGGTTAATTAGATACAATTTAATTAGTTGGTTGGCCGGTTGGTTGATTGGTCACTGGTAAAAATGTTAGACTGCTGGCTGATCAAATGGTTCGTTGATTGGTTGAATGGTTGGTTTGTTAATTAATTAGTCCAATGATTGGTCAGTTATTTGATTGATCGTTTAGTTAGAATTGGTGATGATATATTTAAGAAAATGTCCAGATAATAAAATAAACGTGTTTCACTATTTAATTAATCAACGGATAAAAATTGATTGGTTGAATCTTTATCATCTTCATCATCATCATCTCCATCATCACCTCCATCATCATCTTCATCATCATCTTCCTCATCCTCTTCGTCATCATCTCCACCATCATCATCTCCCTCATCATCTCCATCATCATCTCCATCATCATCTTCATCATCATTTTCATCATAATCCTTCCCATCATCTTCCCCATCAGCCACACCATCACCTGCAGTCTAAGTAGATAGTCGACGGTGCATATGATGATGTTGACGGTTGACGTGTTGCCTACCTGCGCCCTCAAGTAATTTTGAAAGTCTGCCATTCGAAGTCGGTGCGGGCGAGGCGTTCGTTAATGAAATTGCGGTAAAAATGTTTCAACGTGCAACTTTCATTGAAAGTTTTTTAGCCATTTTTATTGATTACACATTAGGTTCATTTTATGATGCAAATAATTGTATATTTTTCGATGTATCATAAAGACGAAAATACAACAATCAAGCAAGCAAGCTGACAAACCAATCAAACAACCGACCAACCACCCAACCATCCAACTAACCAACCGTCCAACTAGCCAACCATCCAACTAGCCAACCATCCAACTAACCAACCATCCAACTAACCAACCATCCAACTAACCAA